ACCCCAGCATCTACCTGTAGGCTCTGAAGGGGGGGGGGTTAAGGTATCTGCACAGCGCATCACTCCCCTAATATCTCTGTAAACATATGTGCGGGGAGTGATGAGGTCGGAGCCTAAACGCCAAAATCTAAATATGCTATACTGCATTTCAAACGTGAGTTGGCTGACTGAACTTATGTTATTATCTGTGTTATGTTTTTCATTACAATAAGTACAAAAGAACATTTATTCAGCATTTTCTTTATTAGATATTCCCTGTTGTCATGCTTCATGTTGAAATGTCCACATAGTTCTGCCATTTAAACCAACAGAGGCAAACAACTTGTGTTGGTTTTCATGAAGACGCAGCAGTGTTGAAACATTAGTCTGTTTGCAAAATTAAAGGCTGCAAATTAATCAGTGTGCTCCCATTGTGTTCTCTGGAAGAAGCAAACAACAGTTTCCTGTTGAATCTCTGCCTTTAGGGCTCTTGAAGTTGAAGCTATTATCATCCACCAACCAGCATACTTTGATGCTGAATTCACTTGAACTGAAGTTCTATACTAGTGCCAAACAAACTGCAGTCATGTGTTTAAAGTAAATTTCTCTGAAAAAATGCCAAATATGGAATATCGTTGTGAGCATAGAGGTGACATAGTGAACTTGTTAATCTACAACAAATAGAATATTTCATAGTTGCTTTAAATGTTGCTTGTGCTGCTGCACTCTATAATTAAACTACTGAGTACTTGGACTTAGTAGAAAAACCAGCAGAAATGAGGAAGTGTTTCAGGAAGAACAGCAGTGTGAAGTGTCTCTGTACACCACAGCTTTTAGTTGAGTTTGTTGAATGTTGTTTTGGTCTACCACAAATCATTAGTGAAGGAACTGGCAAAATCTGGCTTGATAATGTGGACTGTTCAGGAAATGAAAGGTCTCTAAGTGAGTGTCAGCATGGAGGATTTGGGATAAACTGACACATTTGTGTTACACTGTGCGTTACATCTGCATACCAGAGTTTGTGAAGCAGCACATACCTGTAATCAGGGGTGCTTACAATACTGTTGTCACAATACCAACATTTTCACTTTGATACTGTCACCGCCTGGCTCGAGAGTAGGACAAAGAGGAGGAGGGGACTTTTTCATTAAATATATATTTAACACCATATAAGTGAAATAATGATAATATAAAGTTTGTCAATCAGTACATCAGTAGTGCCAGGCGTGTTAAACTAAACTAAAACGATAGAGTTGATACTTGATGCCTAAATGTTTTGATGCAGATACAATATGTACAAAACCAGGAGGAGTGTACAAAATACATTTAAAATATAAATCTTAAATATTTAATTTTAAGTTCATGCATATCAGGGAAATGACTAAACTATGGTTATATTTATTGGGTCGAATGTTATGGATCTGCCACACACAATGCCCATGTGTTATTGTTCCAAAACCGCAAACCACAACAGACCTTTCCCACTTAAACATTATTCCAGCAACCCAATCACGTTTACATTGGGCAATGTTATGTTTGCTACTGTGGGACTTTTTTACTGGCTGTTCTGTCTGACAGTGTCAAGCCACAGTAGTTTCGAAGTTGTGTGTAGATATCAGCCCTATGCTATTTAGCTATTTAACTGTTTTACAAGCACTCACATAAGACCCTAAACAACTTTCGTTTAATAAAATGTTGCTGGGTGACATTGTATTAAGCTAAATTATAATAGTGCTAGTTGAAAATGGTCAACTTGAGCATAGATTAAGTTTTACAACTAGGTTCGGGAACAAAGACCATGCCTTGCACTCATCTAATTTCTGCTCAAAATGTACTTAAGCACAGCTTATCCGTTCACTCCCTTCTCGAC